TTTTTTTTTTTTAATTCATGATCGAATTTTTTTTTGTAATCCATGATAGAATTTTTTGAAAATTTGTGTATTTTTTTTTTTTAATTCATAATCGAATTTTTTTTTGTAATCCATGATAAAAATTTTTGAAAATTTGTGATTTTTTTTTATTAATCCATGATCGATTTTTTTGAAAATTTGTTTTTTTTTTTTAATTCCATATTATTCAAAGAGAAAATGACAGAGATGATGATTCTGAGGCCACCCTATCCCAACCATATTATTCACATATCGAGTCCCAACAGCAACAGTGTAGGGATGAGCACGACAGTGCAGGTGAGCATGAAGGATGGACAATCTTCGGGGATTTTAGATTGGGAACACAACAAAACACTAACACTCAGGGATTTGATAATAGTCAGACGCCTGCTAATATCGATGATTCGTTTTTAGATCGAATCAATGAATTGTTAAACGAATTCAATCAATGGCACCAGCGTGACCAAGAAGAACAATAGCGTCGTCTATCATTTTATTTTTAGATCATATGTTACTAATTTTATGCTTTATTGTAGTCCATGTATGTTGATATACTTATTCCATGATAATTATATGTTCATCTTTTTGTGTGATGTAAATTAAATGCTGAATGGCGGTTCATGCAGAAAAAGAACATATCAATATTCGCATATTCATTCAAAAGCATGAAAATTCTTAACGGAGTACCCTCATTTCTTATTGAATTCCTAAAAAACAATATTTATAATGAATTTTAATAATTTTCTTAGATTTTTTTTAAGCTTTATTCTGACCGATTCACCCGATTTCCGATCCGGATCGTCGATTCGCCGATCCGGATCGGTTTTTTGAAAGCCCGATCCGGGTCACCGATCCGTTTTTTAAACCATTGCATTCCACCATTATTTTGTCTGAACTCTTAGTGAAACTTGAATGCTGGAGCATTAACTTTGTATTTGAAATCCTAGACTAGGGAATACCAAGAAGGCTTCCAAATCCTAGACTAGGGAAGAGACATTTAGAGAGGAGCTTATCAATCAGGGAGATTCCACAATCCCTTGAAACTTAATATGGCCATCTAAGCATTTTAAAAAAAAAAAAACTAATCATTTAAGCATTGTTGCACTTTGCTTGTATCACTTGTAACCATCTATGAAATAATGTATGCATTCTCCTGAGAATCAATGAAGTTCGGAGTTAAAGTGACTCCAGTCTCAATTCTAACAGTGCTTGGATTAGAAACCATGTTTGAAAAACTTTTTTAGGATTGGAGGGGGGATTTGTTCACAGCAAAAACATGAAGAAGTGTGTGGAAGGATTAATTTGTTGGTAAGTGGTAATGAAAACCAAACGTCTAGAACCTCCTCCAAGAATGAACCTACTGATGTAACAACCCCAGGTATTTATCAAGACAAACATTTTTATGCATCACTAGCCATAGTTAGATATGCCAAAATCAGCGTATTACAAGTAGTGACCCTCCCCCTAGTGCTGCCAGAGTAATTGTGCACTAACCTATACTCACACTAGATGCAAAACCATCCTGGAAGTAAGCACTATTTGAGACATTCATTTCCGGAGGCAATACTTACATTATTTGGGGATTTGGCTTGAGTAGGCCTTTTGGACTTAGACCCCACTTGTCGGGTCCAAAAATTGGACGCATACCCTTTGGGTCCGGGTCCATTGCATTATAAACATTTTAGTAGAAGGAAAATGAAATCAAACCAACTAAATTAGATGATCTAAAAACAATGACCAAGAATAGAGCTTTTTGGGTAGCTGTTATTCAATAAGATTCGCAAACTAGAAAATAAAAAGTAATTACTAAAACGAACAATAAATGTGATTATTTTGGTAACCCATAAATTTCCAAAGAAGGTTGTATTGTGTCGTCAAATATATTCAGCTCAATTTCGTTCCAGTCCAAGCTAGAGATTAGAACAAAACCTATTTGAGAGAGGGAGGTTGCTTTTTATCCATCCATATAATTTAGGGAGATCAGACAAAAGCCTACAGACTACAATAACAAAAAGAGAGATGAATTGTCGATTGCGAAATGAATGTAATGATCAACAAATGCTCGGACATGAAATAGGTCTTAATGCATATACGTATTCTGAGTAAAGTGATGAAAAACCAAAGTGCAGTACTGCCATTTTCTTGAAAACCTAAAAAGTAAAAAAAAAAAAAAAATTCAATATTAGCTATTTTATGAAACTTTTTAAATACCAGATCAGCCCGATCCAACTGATCTTTCACTAAAGATCACCGATCTACTGATCCGGAATGGTTTCCAAGACAACCGATTCGCATGGACGATTTGGTTTTTCAAAAACACTAGTCTAAACTATTCATGTTGATCTATTCGAGTTTAATATTCCGTTCGAACTTGGATTTCTATTAGAGATTACTCGTCCTTTTACTTTCATTGAATGTGTTAAAAAGTAAAGGAAAAAGTTCATCTAAGCTGCCAATCTTATATCAGACTTGCCTCAAAAGAAACCATCCAAGGGAGATTTATAGATATGATAAAAAAAGAAAAAAAAAAAAAGACTTCCACTTTAAAAAAAAAGTGCATCTAGTAAAAGCGCTATCTAAACCGTTCATTTTCATGATTTTCAATTGTTGTGGATTTACTCGTATACAGTATTCCTAAAGCTTTAAATTTTATAATTAGGTTGAAAAAAAAGATTTTTAAGCCATCATAGGAATTTCTGGCATCAAAACAGTATTTTTCAAGCAGTTTTGGAGGTGTGCTTACGTTGATTATTTGGGGTTACGCCACCCAAAAGTAAATCAACGTCAACTTATATCCATCTGAAGAAATGTAAATCCATGATAAGAAATGCAAATAGAAAGGAGACCCGGATAAGAAGTCAGGACCCCTCAAAAGGCCATGGACGACAAATCCATCTAATCCCGAGTCGTGACTGCCCATTTCCCAACTTTTAAGGCCCATTGGAACAATTTCAAATGTATTTATATACATATGCATGCCTGAATGTATACATCAGTTACTTACAACCCCAAAAACAATCTCAGCCTTCCATGACCTCCAAAAAAAAGTTCAAGAGACTCTGAAAGAATCTTAGTTACACGTTTTTCTTCAACGACGACTTATAACTCTTACAAACAAGTAAAATAAAAACTAAGCAATTCATCGTCTAGAGCTCTCAGTTGCCCAGAGCTGAAGCATGTAAGACATACCAAATTATCAACCAGAAGGCCGAGCCTGCATCTTAACTTATTCATATAAATAAAGTGTCAAACCTAGGTACTGACTTTCAACATTATATGTAGCTACATCCTGTATGTACTTAGTAGTCAATCTCCATTTTTTCTTTTTCTTTTTCTCTTTTTTTTTTTTTTTTTTGTGGCAATTAGGGTTTGTGGTCAACCTCCTATAAACCAAGGATACATAAACCTGTGACAAACTTCCGTATCTTGCATAGCATGAAGTACGCATACACGAACAGAAGCATTGCCCCAATAATACAAGCTCCCAAACTCGACAAAACTGACCTTTGTGAAACACTATGAAAGCCCTCCACATTGCTTTGACCCCCTGAATCTCCAATAATTTTCTTCACTTGTTTCTTTGTTAAACTGACATTTTCCTTTGGCGGACGGCGAGCCTTTCTCCCCTTTTGCCGAGACTTAACTTTAGCCACAGTCGAACCGGAATCCTTTCGGAATGGAGACCCATCTGATATGAATATATCTCTCATTTCAGTAACAGTCTGATAAGAATGTGCCTCTCTTATCAACTGGTCTGAATTGGGCTCCTCATCCTTACAGAAAATTGCTGATACCTGATAGCAACCAAGGGGTGCCAAACTTGGTTCGGACATAGGAATCTCTTTGGATTCATTACCTAGCCCACTATTGAACTCCTCTAATAAAAGCAGTTGCTCCTGAAGATCACAACTAGATTCAGAACCAGAGTAGCCACTTCCATTAAGGACCCCAACAGCTCCTTTGTTGTAAGAGTAGGTCTCTGCTCGATTAGTAGACCGATTTTGCATTTTATGCATCTGAAGTCTGGACCTTGGACCTGGAATTTCGGACTCTGGACCAGAGGGCCAGTATCTTACATTAATTTCAGGTTCTTCTCTGTCCACCACATTGTCTGGAACCTGAGGATTATATAATTCTGAGTAGGCACTTGGGGTGAATCCATGGTCACCTGGAAGTGTAGAAGAGGGGCCACTGAGAGAGGCACTTGTGATTGCGTCGTATATTTCTTCAATAATGTCATGTTCAGAGAGTGGATCACTTGTGCTGAAATGATCAAAAAAGGTTGACTGGTCCCCAATTCCTAGATTGAATGGGATCTCAGGGAAATCTTCAATCCTAAGTGGAGAGCTTGCAACCCCATCATTTAGTTCCAGAATGTGAGGATTCGGATCCACCTGTGAAGCCACATTGCCAAACAGCATAAAGAGCTAAATATGCGTTGCCCATGTGAGAGAGAGAGAGAGAGAGATTAAAAACTACTAGAAAGTCTTGAAGTTCATGAAATGCACTAAAACAGAACAAAGTACCATAAATATAATAAAAAAGAAAAAAATTGGGATTGTATACTATGAGACCAATTATCTTTATCAGAAGGTCACAATTGCTACTAGCCATTAGATGTCAAATTGGATGGCTTGGATTGTACTACAAAGTTCGAGAAATTTTTTTGTGAACTTTGAGTTTATTTAATGGCACCTACATAGACACAGCCACCCAATTTGACATCTGATGTATAAGAGCGACCGTGACTTCTTGGTATTAAAAGTAAATGGTCTATTTGTATACTTTTCCTATAAAATTAACATTGTTGTTGTTCAATAGCGCATGCAGCCCAATGGAGAGTATCATCATAGAAAGTTTTGACAAAGTTTTACGTTAGCTGCCTACATAACACAACCTACGTCCTTTATCCAGGCTTGAGACAAGCTAAGAGAAAGTTTAAAGTCCTCACCCCCCTTAGACCACTAATGGGGAGTATCAAACAAATTAATACTTCAACAACATTACCTATCGTGATTTCCGCTAGAGGCACAACTATTAATAGACTACATTTATGTGAGTATGTTGAGAGTGTACTCCATGGTGGAAGTTACCCAATCCACCTATAAAAATATACATCAATGTTATCGAATGTGGCCGAACGCATTATGAGCCTTCATATGTCAGATGTGCTTACATATGCGACCCACCTCTTGTAAGTTTATTGCAATACCATGCACCTTGATAGCTTTAAGGGGCCAATTGATGCATTTTGCCCCCTAAACCCCAAAGTTGTAGAAGAGGATAGGTGGAGAAAATGCAAGAAAGAAGAGAGGAATAGGGTTTTTGAGTTTATTGCTAAGTGGTTTTACCAAATTTTTATTCCATTCAATACCATGCACATTGATAGCTTTAAAGTTTTGGTTGAGGCAATTGGGCAGTTAAGCCCATTTCAAATCCCCTTTATTCTCGAGTTTAAGGAGCCCCTTTAGAAAGATGCAATGAAGAATGTGAAGAAAATTTTCATTTCCCAAAGGGAAGGGTGAGAGAAGTATGGGGTGAGCATCATGTACAACGCATAGTCTAAAAGAAGGTCCCACACATATATTTAATTTTTTGGCCAATTGTCCTTGGGGACTTCTACTATGAAATCTGTTGATGCATCAAACAAGGCACATGATGCCACTTGTTTGAGTTGATGGATGACATTTAGAGTTTTCCAGGGAAGAGCATGTGGTACAAATTGTAACAAACAATAGCGCTACTTATTCTGCAGTAGCGCATCTCTTGACATTGAAGAAGAGGCATACGATTTGGACTCCTTAGGCAGCACCTTGTCTAAACTTCGTGCGACATTGCGAAGATGTCCAAGGTTTAAGGGGCAATGATCATAGACAACTTTGTCATTGATTTCATTTAGAGTTCTACCTAGTCAATGAGGGAGTTCACAAAGAAGAGAGAGAAAAGGAGAGACCGAGAGGAGTCACTAGATTTGCCACGAGATATCTCTCTTTAAAGCCTACTCAAGCCAGTGTAGGAAAAATCGAATCAGAATGGTTAACTGGACATGGGGCTGGACGTGGTTCAACCTGCCTAACCGGGCAACTCTCAAACAATCAAAAAAGTGTAAAAATAAATAAATAAATACAAAAAAAATCTAATAAAATATGAAAAGTATTTTAAAGCATGATTAAACAAATCACATCCAAATGAAGTTGAAAATTAATGGAAAAAAACTAGAATTTAAAGAATCGCTTTGTGCCCATGGGTATTTTTGAAATTTTCCAAAAAATATGGGACAATATAAAAATAAGTATTAATGGCCAGAAAAATATTAAAAACAGCATCACACTTGTTTTTTGGGATTTTATATAATTTTTTAAAAGTTTTATATTAAAAAACCCAGCCGATTCATCAAAATCAGCCAAAACCGGATCCGACCAGTGGCTGGTTCTGATCTAATCGGGTTAACCAGGTGGTTAGAATTTGAATCGCTCGATTTTCCTACATTGTTTCAAGCAAATTCACCTCAAAAAATGGGATTAAGAGTAAGTGGGCAAGGCTAGGGCTGTCAAGTAGGTCGCATCCACCCAACCGAGTTCAAGTCCAACTTCTCGACCTGACGGGTCAACTATGGGATATTTCTCGACCTTTGGTGGAAGTACTACGAAAGGTCGATTGTGATGCAAGCCCTCCATGGGGTGATGATTACGGTGAAAGAACAAATCAAATCAGTTCCGAAAACTAATGAAAGCAAATACAAGCCTATGCTTCTGATTTTGGATAGGAGATCTGCCCTTCATGCAGCTGGCTACGCTTTGAATTTATGTTTTCATTATAGACACCCACTTATTGAATCAGATCGTAAAATGAATAGAGGGTTCTTAGATATAACTGAGAGTTTAGTCCTTTATCCAACTATGTTAAGATTCAAACTCACAAATTGATCAGATTCAAGTGTGAATTAGGGAACTTTGGACAAGATATCACGATTTGCGATATGTATACTAAATAAGGTAACCAACACTATGCAAACTATGAAGTTTGAATTTCACTAAAAAATTGTTAACTTCACCGTTTCTTCTTTACATTGTTTTACTTACAATAAATATATATCTAAATATGCAGCTGAGTGGTAAGCATCACATGGGAGCAATGACACAAAATCTTCAATGTCCTGTTATTCGAGTGTTGAGCACCACATGCAATTCATTCAATTGCAAACACAACTGGAGCCCATTTGGGCATATAAGCCATTTCGCATTTGTTTTTTTAAGTTTCTAAAATCTAGATTGTTGAGAAAAATACAGATCTGTCAGACATTGGTTAAGTGACACTTTGCTCCTTGGCTTGTTTCCTTGCTTTCTATCACAACTCAATAGAAAAAACGAACAAGCTGAAGTAAAGAAAGTTGAGTGATCTTGTATGTTCGATACAATGAGCGCCTTAGGGAAAGGTAATTGATGCTTATGGATGTCAATCCGAATGTCTTGGATGAAAGCCACAACACAATGAATGGGCCCCAAGTCCACAATCAGACTGGGAGTTCTAGCATGAGAACCTTACTTGGTTGGATGTCGAGCAATGCTACAGGGGCTGGAGAAGACCTAAGATTTAGCATTAGAATGTAAACGTAGAGAGTTTGGTCCACATCAATAGGAAGAAGCTAACTCTGAGGAAACTGAGTAGGAAGAAGGATATGTGCACAAGGAGCTTAGGACATTGTTGATGATCGCTCTATAGTCCTGGTTTCGAATGCGGAAGATGCACATGATGGATCATATGACTCGTCTACTTGAGAGTTGAGACGTTGATTACATTTATTATCTTTTTTAGCTTATATGACATGAACTTTTCGTCTCCAGACTTTGAAGTTGAATTTCATATACTTGTGATTAGGTTGGTCACTTGGTCAATGGTACATGTTTTATTTAATCAATGAATGGAATTGATTACTCCGTTTCGCATGTTAATTTCATTAAACTATTAGAGAATAGAAACAAAAAAGTCTACTACGTTTCATCAAGGCATCAAGTTATCAGCAAAGCAACCATGGGATATATTTGAGATAAATACTGTGTTAAAATGCCAAAATGAGATAAAGGTTTTAAAATTGGGAAAAGTTTATTTAAGGGTGAGGCCCTAACCAATCAAATTATGGCACACATTAAAAAATCACTAGAAGAGGTTGTTTCGACTCCCAAAAATCCTCAAATCGTTCATCTCAACTTCAAAATTTATGGACATGAGAAAAAATGGATTTCAAATATAGAAAATAATGCACCTTGTAAAGTATTTTTTGGACCGTCCATTTTCAAGACTTTCAAGTGTTCATAGATCGGTTCGATCTACACTACTTTTACAGCTTTAAATTTTATAATTAGAGATGAAAATAAATTTACAGGCCATCACAAAGAATTCCATTACTAAAAAAGCATCTTTCAACACTATTTGAAGGTGTGTGTTATTTTGATTGTTTAGGCCCTTAGCCAAACAACACCTATAAAATTAGCCAGACTAAGATAGAGTATAGAATGCAAGTTTCGTAATAATAAAAGTAGAGACGAAGAAGTAGTTAAGCTCGATGACCAAAAATTACCAAAAGGAGTGCACTTTCAATATATTGAGTCGATAATCCAGGAAAATGAAGAGATTGAGGAAGGTGGCACGCATAGAAATAGAGCTGGGTGGCGAAGTGGAGATGTACAACCGGAGTTTTATGTGATCACAGTATATCAATGAAGCTAAAGACCAAGTTCTACAAGACAGCTGTGAGACCAACTTTGCTTTATAAAACGGAATATTGGACAATCAAGAAACAGCATACCCATAGACTGAGTGCAGTTGAGATGAGGATGTTCATATGGATGAGTGGCAAGACAAGATGGGATAGAATTCAAAACGAATACATTTGCGAGATTGTAGGTGTGGTACCAATAAGAGATAAGATGAGAGAAAGTAGACTTAGATGGGCTGGCCATGTGTAGTATAGACCCAATACAACACTTGTTAGAAGGTGCGAGTTAGTTCAAGTGGAAGGCTCAAAGCGGACAAGGGACAGATCCACAAGGACCTGGTTGGAAGTAGTGAGAAAAAATATAGGGACTTATGACCTCACTGAAGATATGGCACTTAACAAAGCAAAATGGCAGACCAGGATTTGTGCAGCCGATCCCAATTAGTTGGAAAAAGACTCTAATGATGATGATGATGATAATATGTTAAAATGCCCAGTATCACATAAATCACACATTTATGTTATTCTGTCTGTTATCATATTTTTCATAACTTGTAAAACTCGTAGGTGATTTTCCCACATCAGGACTACAACAAGCTGCAAACTGCTTTGGACCCCCAAGTGCATCTATTCTATATCCCACGTTGATAACACTAATACACATGCATGCGTGCAGACCACACCCACATGTTAATTTCATTTATAGTTGAGAATGTGGGTACCTGATCAATTGATCATAATTCAGAATGCCTCCTACATTTCTTAAATGAGACATTTCTTGAATAAGCTCAATCAATGGGCAAAAATAAAAAATTCCTCAAAAATGGCAAAACAAAAAACCTATCTAGCAAATCTCTGAAATATTCACAATTTACTTACACCAAAAAATCCTTGAAATGGAAGCTGCAATCCCTAAGGGCACGTTTGGTTGGTGTGAAAATATTTCCCAGGAAATATTTTCTTGATAAAACTGCCTTGCACATGTTTGGAAAGGGAAGAAAGCATATGAAAACAAAACCAGTGTTCGCAAAATTGAACCGAACAGTTAACCGGACATGGGCCCAGAAGCTGTTTAACAGGCCTAACCGGTAAACCGGCCGATTCAACCGCTCTAACCAGGCAAGTCCCACGTGATCAAAAAAATGTTGTAAAAAAAAAAAAGAATACAAAAAAAAATCTACTAAAATATGAAAAACATATAAAGAATGATTAAAACAAAACACTTTCAAATGAAGTTGAAAATTAATGAAAAAATGGATTTTATTCCATTTTATATTTTCTAAGGGATATTTTTAAAAAATTTTAAAAAAGATGGGAAAAATATAAAAGTGAGTATTAATGATCAAAACAATTTTAAATCTTTACCATAATGTAAAGAATATTTAAAAATGCATTACAAATCAAATTCCTTATTTTTGAGAATTTATATACATTGTTTTGAATATTTTTTTTTAAAAATACCGGTTGATCGAGCGATTTTGCAAACAATGAACAAAACCCATGATAAAACATTTTACCATAAAAAGGTCCACTTTACGTGAAAACAAAACCACACCTCAACCCATGAGGAAGTATTCCCCGGGTTTTATTTTCACATGCGGACCCACTAATCACGATTCACTATTCACTATGTATAGTATAATATATATTATATAATATTTATTTATATATTAAATATATAATGTATAAATATGGATTAATTTATATTATACTATATTATATAATGTATATTAGTAAACTAATATACAATATTATACTAATATAATATTATAATATAATATAATATTAGCATAATATAATATTACACAATATATCATATTACCATTTTACATTCAACTATTTTATATTAAACAATATATTAGTTTATATTATATTATATAGTATATGATAATATAATATTATACTAATACATAATATTATAAGAGTAATGATCCTATGAGACCCTCCCACACCCATGTGTGTAGGACCCCAAATGATCACTATGAAATTTGGCACAGATATCTAGAAAAGTTATCACATGGGTGTGGGACTTGACTTTTCTAGAGATCTATGTAATGGTGATCCTTTGGGGTCCTACACACATGGGTGTGGAAGGGTCTCACAAGGTCATTTCCCATATTATAATAATATAATATTACTATAATATAATATATATAATATTACATAATATATTATATTACATATTATGGATCTTAGCTCCACAGAACAATATGCTATTGTTGAAATATGGAACAATTGAAAACTTAGATCAAAACACTATGTATGGATGGTATGAACTGCCTAAACAAGAATTCTTGAACGGTGAACAACCAAAACCTATTACTCACTATATCAAACAATTTCCATTAATGAAACATGTAAATCTATTTGCATGTCCGATGTTATAACATTCGTGTAATATAATATATATTACTTTAATATATAATATATATATTACTTTAATATATAATATATATAATAATTTATATTAAACAATACATTAGTTTATAGTATACTATAACATATATTAATATAATATAATATGTAATAATATAATATATTATATATTTTTAAAATAAATAATATTTTTAATATTTAATATACAATATTTTATTTTTATTTTTTTTGAAATTATGCTAGGGGCATCCTTCAATGATTCTTCAAATAAATATAACTATATAGTTTTTAGTTATAATATTTAAATAAGGCATATATATAATACAAATATATATTAGGGCAGCGATTTCATGCAACATTTGTATACTACTGTAATACAATAATCTGCGAAAACCATGTTAGACCCATTTGTTTGATCCAAATTTTAAAATATACACTCTTTTCATTCTAATGAACCATAACAAAAAAGAAAAATTTGAAAACGCTACCTAGAAAGTATTTTTTTAGCCCAATCAACATACACTGTCCATTTTGATAAGATGCTTAGATCTAGGCCTTAGAAGGATTTTTTCTTTTCCAATTTTTTTAAATGACTTTATTATCATTCAATGAACAATGTTAAAAAAGAAAAAAAAATGATTCTGAGCTTGTAAAGGCTAAGATCTAGAAAATCACCGAATGAATGGTCTAGATTCGTTGTAGGAGGAGACTCATTTTGACAATATCTAGGGTTTCAATTGAACTTTTTTTTTTTGGATTGATTATTGAGATTAAGAGAGTGTGTGTGCAAAATTTTGGGTCATACAAATAACATAAACATGGTTTTCTAGAAGTGTTATTGCATCATACTATGATACATACGTTGCATTAGATCATTACCCTATATATTAATAATATAAATATAAATAAACAGTATGTATAATATAATATAATATTTATAGTGTATTATAATGTACAATATATGTATTTATATATTTATATAACATCGTATATTTATATAATGAGTAATGATAATATATTTATCTAATGAGTAATGATCCTATGAGACCCTCCCACACCCATGTGTGTAGGACCCCAAAGGATCACCATTAAATTTGACACAGATCTCTAGAAAAGTTATCACATGGATGTAGGACTTGACTTTTCTAGAGATATATGCCAAATTTAATGGTGATCCTTTGGAGTCCTACATACATGGGTGTGGGAGGGTCTCACAAGGTCATTTCCCTTATATAATATATATTTTATTGTATAATGTGTATTTTATTGTATAATATATAATATATTTTATTTATATAATAGATATTCACAATATAATATATATTATATAATATTTTATATCTAATATTTAAATAACATTTGACATATACTATTTTAATAATACTTAAATCAAGTTACCAAACATATGAAATTCATTATACAATGCTTTTTAAATGTGTTAACAAACATGGAGAAAATAAAGTCTGCAAAAGTTTTTCCTGCAAAGTATTTACATATGTAAATATTTTTATTAAGGAAATATTTACGCACCAACCAAAAGTGCCCTAAATGAAAATCTTTCTTTGGTTTTATCCCAAGAACGTTTTGGAATATTGCAAGAGAAAAGTCCTAATTACTTGGCACAACAAATATGCTTGTTCTTTTGGAATTGATTGTGAATCTGAATAAAAGCCAGTGCCTTTTTTGGATGATTGATGTATTATCTCAAGCAAGAATTTCTACTAAATGTATCCTACAATTACAAGGATTAATGCCTATCATTTTTTCTTTATTGGTCAAGCATGCTGACGACTAAATTAGAAGATACAAACACGGATAACCAATTGAAGGCACACCAGAATCTTGACAAATTAAAACTTTCCAAAAAGTGGAATTTTCAATATTTTTGCAAATAGGACCGTGTAGATGGTCTCATCACCAATCCAATACTGGGTCATAGTATTACAGCATATTACCATTGGGTAATCCAGCTGATCACCACCGATGGGAAAATAACATTGTGGAGTTTTTTTTTGTGGGGGTTTTCTTTTTTCTAAAAAGAAACTAATCAAAGACTTAGGATTTGAAACATATTATTACAGCATATTACCATTAGGTAATTCAGCTGATCGGCACCGATAGGAAATTAACATTGTGGGTTTTTTTTTTTTTCTGAAAAGAAAGTAATCAAAGATTTAGGATTTGAAGAAATGAACAGAAAAAAGTTCATGAAATGGTGAAGGAAGTCGTTAATTTGTCAACAGAATATGTGGGAAAACAACAGTATGTCGCCAGTTATGCCAGAGAATGTGATAATTTGACTATTTAATACTCGATCCATAGTTTAAAATTTCAAATTTCATTTTCAAGGACACTTTCTGCAGCCTATTCCTGATTAAAGCCCATGCTAGGAGATTAAAATGTAGTGTAAATCATCAAAAGGAAAATAAATCATAAAATGAAAAAAAAGAGAAAGAGTAGCTTAATCAAGGGTATTCATAACTTACCCTCTGATTGCTTGTGTACTCCCCAGATGCTGGAATGAAAGCTGCTTCAGAATTCAGATACATCGCAATGGATAAATCATCAGAAACCAAATCATATGAGTTTCCATAAGGGGTATTCATTGATCTACCCTCTGTTGGTTGTGCTGCAACGTGCCTTTCATTTTGCTCCAACCCATCATCATCACTTGTACCCGATTCATCATTCTTAAAAACACGGCAGAGGACAAAGGCATCCTTCACCACCAGGGAATTGTGTCAATAGCCTTATAAAATGGTAGTCACTACCACACCAAGAACAGATTAAGAACTAGAATCTATAGACAATAGAAAGAAGAAAATGCACATAAAACAGCACGAGAAAAAAGAAACCAAAGAAAGCTTCATAGAGGGAAGGGGGGGGGGGGGGGAGCAGAGAGCAAATATAAAAGGAAAGAAAAAAAATTAAGAAAAAAACTAAGATCGGGAAAATAACAACAAAATGAATATATATATATATATAACAAAGCCAAAAGTGAACATAGAAAAAGAAAGTGCATGTGTGTGAGTGGATGGTCGTGTTTATGTGTGTGTGTGTGTGTGTGTGGTTGGGTGGGTGGTGTGTGTGTGTGTGTGTGTGTATGTTTAATGCATGCATGTACACCAAGAATGATGACAGACCATAATGGTTGGGAGGGTGGTGTATGTGTGTGTTTATGTTTCATGCATGCATGTCCACCAAGAATGATGACACACCATAATGGTTTTGCACATAACGCCCAGTCTCCAACTAAAATGAACAACACATGCCTAAAGACCAAGAACGTTTGTTGCTAGCAAGGCAAGATTGGAAGAGCTCTAGTAGGAAATACCTTCATGCCTGGTGCAGCAGCTTCACACTCTTCCTTCGCCAAATGATACTCATGCATAAGCCAATCCGTGCGCACCCCTGATGGAGCCCTTCCCGCATGAAATACAAGGGTCTTCTTAGTGCCAATGGTGCGTCTTCGGAATTTCACATTCCGGTCCTTCCCTGTGGCCTTCCAAAAACCAGCTTTTGTAGCTCTGTTTGTGCGAGAACCATTAGGATATTTTTTGCCTCGAGCACAAAAGAAATGCCACGAGGAACATCTAAAAGGCATGTCGGATTTTTCTGCACGCAAAACTTCTAGCTTAAGATGTTTCATTATTTTCAAAACTATCTTGGTAAGGAAAATTGGTTTTTGGTAAAACAGTTTGTTTCAGCAAGTAAACAGAAATTTTCTTTGCTTTCCCTTTTTTCTTTATTGTTTTTTTTTTTAAATATATTTGTTATCTTTACTTCATATAGAGGGCTGATGGGAATGCATAGATACAAAACAAGATCTCTTCAAGTGGTCAATTAGGGGACGATGGTCAAGTGCTCAACTAAAATAGTTTACTTAGCTAGATCACGCGAAGTCCTATAAGTTCCATAGATGACGATTCAACCCACGTGATATATATAACTAAGATATGACGGATATTGCAATATCTAAAAAACTATATATTTCACCATATGAATTCTTTGATTTGTTATAAAGTTTATGGAACATGAATGAAATGACAAAATTAGATAGAACATGACTTAAATGCCAAAATCTGTTTTGAGACATCTAACTACAATAGCCTTCCGAATATTCTATGTGATAATTCTCACCCCTGCTAAACAATAAAAAGCAAAAAACCTTTAGCTCCCATTATGTTCCTGCAATCAATAGTTTGATGTGAACGCACCATAGAAATGGCAAACCAATTCAAATTTTTAATAGAGACAAATTTCACCATGCATTAGACTAGTAAACGATTGATAAAAAAAGTGCCCATTTGAAGCGGCAACCTAGAATCTATTATGTTCCATGGTTCCAATAGTTGAATCCTTATTCCTCCTATCAACAAGGAACAGGAAAGTACAGTTTGTTCCCAGTCCTAAAGAGTTAATCAAATTACTCTGAGACATACATAACGTTTATACATGCATCCACCATTTATTTGCAAAATTTCCAGGAGAGGCGTTTCTATACGAGATGAATTAAACACATCCAAGAGTTCTTCAAATTCAAAGACTATTAGTTGGGACGTATCTATCATCTCAATAAATCCAACACTTGTAGAGTTCAATTAAACATAATTGGCGAAACTTGGGATGTTTCTTATAAAGCTGGTTAGAATTCTTGTACAATTAGGATAAAAATGTGAGAAAATAGACAATAAGAGCCAGCATTTAATTGATAAAATCTTAAGGTAAGATGAGAATGGTATATGTTAAACAGATAAGTTTGATGGAATCTGTATCACATAAAGTACAAAAAAGAAAAAACCGGAAAAGAAGTATGGAATGGCTCTAGGCTTAGGTAGTAAAGGAGGCAGGCTGCTACAATAAGAAAAACAAAAATAAGTTGTGACATTCAAACCAGTAATATTAAGGGTTTTCCACACCTCGAACAGTCGCAGTTTGGGCATTTTCTGACAAAATAGTCGAGAAGGTAGTTAAAAAGTAACAACTTTGCTAGTAAATTAGTTGAATTAACCACCTCATTGATTTTTGAGGTGGTTGACCATTTCAATGACAGCTCCCCAAAAAAAATACAGATCCTCACTTCCTCAACCACAGCATCATAACGACCATCAATTCACAAACTCATAGTTATATGCCGCAAAATATTAATGATAATTTCTTCTTTTTTTAGTCATTGGATAGGTCACCATAAGTGATGCAGCTACCAAGTATCTTCTAGAGCATCACAACTAGTTGATGGTTTTTAAAAAAAAAAAATTGCATTTATTCTAGGTTATTCTAGATGAAAATAGCAATCAAGTGATCTGAAACATTGTACACATCGCAGGTATATCCATTAAGTACCCCATTTGTGAGGACCAAATTTCTGTAATAGGGCAGTTCCTCACCCTCCACTTATTTTTGGAGTGAAAAAGGCTTACTTTGATCGGCTCAAATGACAAACTTCTGGAACCCCAGTTGTCAAAGAAATGCTGCTGAAAGCCCAGAAATACCCATATAATTTTTAATAAAAATGAATCTGAAAAAGAAAAAATTGTTTTTACTTCATTAAAGTAACTTTGGGCATTTAATAGACTTGTGGGGATGTCCGAACAGGGCACTCTCTCTCCTTTAACATACCAAGGAATAAATTATCAAGGATACAAAATTTTAAACAAAATAATGTAAATTTTTCTCAACAAGATAAAAAGAAGCTAGACATGAGAGAGATATGCCATTTGAAAGAATATTTCAATGTTCCTTATGACCACATACAAAGTAAACAGTGTAAATAAGTAATGATGTTCAAATCCAAAAAATACAGTAACCAATTTACGGTAATTAATAAGTTTACAGCATAGGCAGAGAATCATTTGATACTTAAGTAGTGAGAACAAATCAAATTGGAGAATATGATTACCTGGCAAATCCCATGGCTCATGCTTATACAGGTCCACTTCCGGAATAGTGTCCCTATTCTTGCCAAGTATTTTTCCCTTCAAGTAATAAGACACAAGCTCCACATCGGTTGGGTGAAATCCAAAGCCAGGAGGCAAAGAAGCTATATTGCCATTGGTGTTTCCCATGTACTCGAATGTCATGTCTAAATGAGAAGATAATCCAAATTCCTATGTATTTAGAAAGCAACCCACTCAATAGATTGAAAAAATATAAAAACTATTTCCAAGAATTTCCTTGATGCTCGACCAAAAAAAAAAAAACTCTCATATATTTCCTTACAGGTAAGATAAGGCAAGAGTCAAAACACATTAGCTCATCATATCACAAAGGATATGAAGAAGTCCATAAAAATACAATCATATCATACTTTGTAAATAAGTAACACTGATTAGTCAAGTTACATAAACATCATGTTACAATAAGTGCAAGATCTACAAAATTCTAACACAATTTAAGAAAGACAAATTGAAATCAGAAAACAAACAAAAACCTCAATAAGGAAGAATAGTTTATCCAAAGATCAATGAATAAGTTCAAAATGAAAGAGTAAAGAGTGTCACAATCTATCAAACAATCACAGAGTTCGCCAAACTCTTCTCATTATCAAAGCACTGAAAGCACATTCACTCAAGCAACATTCACAAACAAAGGGCCTTGTATCCATGATAGTTAGGGTGTGAGGGGTGTAGTACAATGTCCAAGGTTCCAATCCCAACTAATCTATCCACACAAAATACTCAAGAATACTCTGATGAAAATATAGTTGAATAATCAAGATTAGAATCTCTAATTGGATTCAATTCTTTATGGACTCCAACTTCTAACAAAGAAAATCCAAATAATTAACAAAATAAATGATAAATTCCATTGAATTTACCTAATTTAGAGATTCAGGGGAACCTCAAGGGCAGTGATCATCCTCGTAATCCACGTAAACAGATATCATCTTTCTCAATTCTTCATGGCGAAATACTGAATTCTTCATGGCAAAATACTGAAAGAGTAAGTAAAACAACAAAACTCATGTAAATCTATCTAATAATATTTCCAGAAGTCCAGCACTAAGCCTAATCATCTGCACATGTAGCTCAAATAAAACAAACTCTTTTTTGAATCAAAACGGATGAAAATTCTCTACTTATGGGGAATTCGAAGCCCTTAGTGCAGCTATTAGAGAAGAGAAGAAGGAAAACACTAATTTGCATCAGAAACAACGAAAAAATAAAATCCAAAACCCTAATTCAACCTGATCACTGATTCAGAGGGCTTTCAGAAGCAACGATCATCATCGCAAGCAATATGAGTGTGTCACCTTCAAAGCATAAAACCTAGTCCAGAGGAAGCTCAAAAGGTTCGGTTTCTTTAAAGCATTTGGTTGATCAGAGCTCCATGGATCTCTCTCTCTCAAAAGCTCTCTCTGATCACACACAAGTTGACTCCTGAAGACTTGTTTAAAAGCAAAGAAACGACCAAATAGACTTAAAACAACAACATGGAACAAACGGCCAAATAGACTTCCAAGCTTCCGTGACCAATGAACGAGAAAGCTTCCACCAGAAGGCAGGAGCTCTAATTACCAAAAAGGACAAAAGACTAAATAATTGACAAGTAAATCCCAACTCTAGCGAGCATGACCAAAGCACCCTCATATGATTTTTATTTATTGCAAGAGTAGCCTTCAATTCGGACACGTGTCCGTAGTCGTGCACCACACTTGCTCACGTTGTGGCGGGAAAAAGTTTATATACGGTGCGTACCTTGTATTATAAAGGTCAGGCGTATCTCAAAACCTCACCAAAACAAATTATTTTGCGGCAGCAATACCCTCGAGTTGTTCATGTTGACTTCAAGATCCATGAGTATGAAAAAATTTGATTGTAAATGTTGAAAATGGTTCTTCTTGTAGCACATTATCTACATTGAGTGATAGATTGTGGTAAAATTAAGGTGGGGCGCATTCTCTAGACAGTCCATAGACCTTGAGGTCCGATATATGGATTGTATAAAATTATGAAAAGAAAAAAAATATATATAAAATGACAATGTAAGTTGAAAATCCCAAATAATCTATCCACTCTACTCCATTAGCCGCCATAATGTTCAAGCTGAGATAACCAATTTAAAGGCTTTTAACACTTCGAATTACAATTTTTTGATGAGTGATGAGGTTGGGCTTTACTTGATTTAATAGGGCTGCGGCCTTATCAAATCACATTCTTTCTTTTTTATAATCAAATTTATGAGGATAAATTGATATAATAAAGTATCTTTCTTCTTTTCTTTTTCTTTTTCTTTTTTTGATGTGTTGATGGTTGGGATGATGATGAAAGATCCACCCGGCCTAACCATCCGTGCCCCACCCCGTTCCCAAAAGGTCACATAGGCCCTTTGGGAATATCCACCGTTCATCTCATCTTGCCAATAGTCTAAGTGTCTTTTTTGGTCCAACAACCACCAGTCTGGTAATAAAAACATCATTGGAATTAAAGGCCTTACTGTATAAGTGGAAATAGATGGGTAGATACATGAGAGAGTGGGGGAGATGAATGAATTCATTAAACATGAAAGGTCATTGGCATATGCCTCATCTTATATTTTGGTTTTCCATTAGATATGTAGAATATTGCAATTTCTTGTCCACCGACATGATAAGATGCATGTCCAACTCCTCATCCATCCTCCAAACTAACAATTGGTCGAGATAAGCCTTATGACCGTGATGTTATCATGCTCATATGGATCACAATATAGTTGATCCAGTATATTAGGGAATACTTCTTTAACCTCTCATTTTACTATTCTGCTTGTATTCTCCTATGAGGATCTCGTTTTTATGCGGTCAAGTTCGCATATGTAGAAATGCAGGCCTCTTAATAAATCTATTTTTTAGATGGATTTTAAGATTTAAATTTTAGGGACATACAATCTCTAACATGGAGATCATGAATATGAAATAAAAAAATTCAAAATTCAAAACTAAAAATAATAATTCTAGTAAGATTTAGACCATTAGTTTCCATTGTTTTTAGATGGAACACCTACTTACATCCATCTTTAAGATGGGTTCTTTACACTTTCTAGACGGCATATGTAAAAATGTGGTCCAACCAAATAATTTTCTTTCTTTTTCATCTTTTTTTTACTGTTCTACTTATAGAGTTTTGCTCCTTTTATAGTGAAATTAATAGTTGAGAAAGTATATAATGAAACCATTTACTTTTGATATCAGGTGGTTATAATTAATATTGACCATTGAAGGCTGCATTTATTTGGTTGCCAAACTCAAAGTTCAAATTAAATTTTTTCAAACTTTGGAACATTTAAGATATCAAACTTCACATCATATAATTATAGATAATTGTGACCTATTTGTATCAAAGATAAATAATCTTAATATATGATCCGTTAATAGTTAACTTCCTAAGCAAAAAGTCGGAAAGGAAATGGCGTTTGATTTTTTTTTTATGAAAGCTGAGAGAGGGTATTTTGGACAAATTGTTATTCAGTGTATGAGGCGGGTTCAAGCACATTCATGCATTGACATGACATAAAAGAGAGAGAGAGAGAGAGAGAGAGAGCGAGAGTATATGCTGGTGACTTTTGCTTTTGAGTCGTATACAAGAGAAAGGGAAAGGACCTCCACTTAGGTTGGAGGAAAAGGTTTAAGGTTGAGGCTCTAAACAATCAAACCAAGACCACCTCAAAAATTCATCAAAAGAAGTTGTTTTGATGCTAAAAATAGACAAATTTGATTATCTTGACTTTGAGAAGATCATTATCATCATATTTTTTTTCTAATTAATTGGGATCGATTAAAAAAATACATGGATATAAAACTATATAGATTTCAAAACTTGAAAATCAGTGCTTAGTGCTTCTTGGAATGTATTATTTAGATCATTACTTTTAAGATTTTTAAATATTCACAGATATGTTTGATATATGTACTATTTTTTAAGCTTTAAATTTTGTAATTAAAGATCAAGTACATTTCCAGGCCACACCTTTGGTTACATAAAGTGAAAAAAAGACCTATACAATCTTTTACTGGGGAATAATATATTTTTTTTATGTCACCCCTTTTGTTTTGGCAAAAGATCACTTTGATTTTTGCAACTTTAGCTGCGGCTTATATAGGCGAATCCATAGAGGGTCATCATTGAATAACTTTCAAAATCAATCACAATCAAAATAGTCCATTTTAAAATAAAAATGAAAAAGCCCATTAATCGTATTCCAATTCATGGGTGGCTAAGTCTTATGACAACAACATATACTTAAAAATAAAATCAACATGGCAATAAAACCAAGATCTTAAAACTTAATGCCATTGAAATAACTATGCATTATGCTTAATAATAAAAAATAAGATTTCAAGAAATAAAAGAGAAGAGTGCAGGAGATTACCTCAACCGAGCTTATTACACCCCACACCGAGTAACCACCATTCGATGGTGCGGAATAAATGATCAACCTTCAATCTCAAACCGGGAAAGCAAGTTTAAACCAAGCCACACTAATGAAACATGAACTCATTTGATCACAAACTCAAACCCTAGGTAAATTTTCGTAGCAACCTAGTTTGAGAGAGATGGATTCTCTAAATGGGATATGAGAGAGAAAATGGAATTAGGTTCTTTCACAATGTGGGAGAGAGTCAAACTTTTCTTAAGAGAGAGAATGGGAAATTCTAAGTGGGATGTGAAAGAGAAATATGGAATTAGGTACAAGAGATAAGGTGTAGAGATTTTTTTTTGGTAGAGACAATCCATTTTTATAGGCTTTGAACAAGATTAGGGTTTCTTAAGGTTTTTCTTGGCTTGTCTCTTCTTGTGATATTGAATATAAACCATTGATTTTGGGTGACTTGTGGGGTGAGAGATCTAAGCTATCCATTCCATATATGGGTCATCAACATTATACAAGATGCATGAACCCCTCATCCCCCTTTCCTAAACTATTTTCCCATCAATAGAAAATAAGTTAAATTAATTTTAATTAAATATTGTGCATTTCATAAAATAGCACATCTCTACACATATTTTCCATAAAATCTATCAAAGATATATCAAGTCGATATCTACGTCCATATTAAGTCAATATATGGTCAATACATACTCAATCCATAATTTGACCACATGTTACAATTTAAAGTTACCAAAACATAAGTTTACATGGACCTCAAAACAAAACTTTTCATAAAATAGAAAGTAGTAAGAGGTGGAGTGTGCCACCCATGGGAGGCACATGTGGGCCCCACTTTCTAGAAACATGGTGAGCCCATATATTCAATGGGCCGCCATGATTATTATTTTTTATGCATTTAAAATTAATAAAATAAATATAGTGAATATTAAAATATTGTAAAATCAATATCTTTAATTTTATAAATAAAATATCCAAAGGTTTATAAAAATTCAAATAATAATTCTAAAATAATCATTATCATAAAACAAACACTATTAAATTAATTTGATGGGAAATAGATCCATATAGTTTTGGGAATTGAATCAACAATCATGGGGCCACCTTCAACTGTGGACTATGGACTACACTTGTTTTATCAAACCGTCCTAGTGTTTCCCATGACCCACAGTCCAAGCAGGAGCTCACTAGTGGGTCACCAAAGCCTGGCCCCCAATCTGTTGATTACATGTCATCCCCTAGAGACGAGCTCAGGTCACCAAGACCTGATGCGACCACAGTTCTATGACGCATAGAGAGATCTCTTGCACATACATACGCTTCAGCTTAAAAGGTGGATTTATGGCTTTTCTGAACGATCTATCGATATGCATATCGTGTGATGGCACATAGATAAGGTTTTGGCCCTCGACTATGTAGGCCACCATCACACACAAGAGTCATACAGTCCCTTGGCTCACTCATCCGGGCATGTTATCCAATCTCATCAAAGGCACTATGAACATAACATGGATTTTTCCCAACCAACTAGCCTAAATCGTCAAGCACAGTCCCCTATCTACAAACATCTTTTATATGATATGGTCTACGAAGGACCACACTCTCACTAAGTTCATATTGCATTATATTATTTCATTTTACAAACACTCACAAAGTCCTTAAAAGCCACGTAAATCCAACATAAAATTTATACTAAAAATACATCTTTGAATATTATTCGAAAGTGTGCCTTATTTGAAGGTCCCCCTAGAGCATCAGTTGTACAAACGAGCCCCACTGAGAGGGACCGAGTATTTTCTCCATCTTATTTTATTCTTGTGAAAGGAGGACAAGCCGCATTTGTCGTTTTCGTAAGACCAGGTCCCACACGTAGGGAAGTTGTTACTTCGCAACTTCGCAGCATTCATGCTTTATTCGAATCTTACAGGATCACTTTTTAGAGAGAGGGCGATGAGAAGTGGGCCATATCATCCGGGTCGCAGACGGACAGGGAAGGTTCAAGCCAAAAGATATTCCGGGGGGTAGAAAGTTCATTTATTCCCTCGGTTAAAACCCTCACCTTCAATTAATTTT